TTACCTTGGTGCTATCTGACCTGTTTTATTTTTGTCTTTAAAAAAAAACAAATCAGCCCTCGTTGGTGTGGTTCGGTGGATTGAGCACCAACCTGAGAATTGAAAGGTCACTGGTTCAATGCCTAGTCAGGGCACATGCCTAGATTGTGGGCTAGGTCCTCAGCTGGGGGTGTGTAAGAGGCAACCGATCTCACACATCAATGTTTCTCTCCTTCTCTTTCTCCCTCCTTTCCCCTCTCTCTAAAAATAAATAAGTAGAATCTTTAAAAAATTAAAACAAATCAGCCTTAATGAGGCAAAATTTACTTCAATAATGCAACCAGTCTAAGTGCTTATGAGTTTTGACAGATGTAAACTCCCCTGTTGTTCCATAATCAAGGAATAGAACATTTCCATCACTTCAAGGTCCCATGCTCCTTTGTGGTCAATGCCTTCCCTCTCTTATGATCCATACCAGGTGGCCCCTGTCCTAACCTGTCAATATAGATTAGCATGGCCTGTCTGTGAACTTCACATAAATGGAATCACACAGTATGTTCTCTTCATGCTTGCTTCTTTCACTAAATGTTGACGAGACCTACCTGTGGGATGCATGTAGCACTGATTTGTTCTTTTTCCTTGCTGCATACTATTCCATTGTGTGACCATGTCATTTGTTTATCCATTGACCTGTAGGAGAACCCTTAGATATTTCCAGTTTATGGCTGTTATGACCATTTGTGTTCACATCTTTGATGAAACCATGTCTTTTTTTCTGCTGGTAAAGACTTGTAGTGAGTTGAATGGGGTCCCTACCCTCCTCATTTTATGTAAACTTGGAACCTCAGAATGTGACCTTATTTGGAAATAGGGTCTTTGCAGTTCCTGCTTTCATTTTTCTTGGGCACATACCTTAGAATGGAATGGCTGGGTTGATCACAGGGCAGGTCCACAAGGAACTTTTGGAGGAAGTGTCATGCATCTCCCTTTCTTGCTTACCATCTGACCTCCCCTTCGAATGTTAACTCCCCAAAGGGCAGAGACTTTGTTTTCTTCCTGGCTCAGAGCCCTGGGCAGCATCTGGCACAATAAGTAAATACATGGTGCATGAATGAGTTACTGTGACTCTTGGTTAGTCAGTAACTCTTAGGTTCTCTGGATCTCAGCTTTCACATCTGTGAAATGGAAATGAACTCAATCCTTCCCTCAGGAAGAATCAGTCTCCCTTCCTCCAAAAACTCTCTGAGCCAGATACTCAAATGTCCAGCATGGGCTGCTAATTGTCCCTGAGAAAAGAATCACCAGCTCTGCATTCCTTGACCTCCTGGATGGTGAAGGAGGTCAAATGCAGAGGGTGAGGGGCTCCTAAAGTCACACAGTGAGGGCTCTGGGCTCTGGGCCTCTAGGAAGTAGACTCTATGAGAGGCTGCAACAGAGGCAGCTCTTGGGGCCCTCACCTTAGTTGGGGTACTGGAGGCAGATGAGAGACCACAGCCAGGCAGTGCCAGAACTGCTGCCCAGAGGTGAACCAAACCCAGGGGGACCTCATGGGAGGTGGACAAAGCAGGCCCCAGTGATTTATTCCCAGGGAAAGTGGGCTCTGGGCTAGGGGAGGAGCCCCAGAAGCCGCCACTGCCACTATTAATAATGGAATGGCTGATATGGACCAAGTGGTTCAACAAGACCTCCAGGGCCTCTTCCTCTGAGCCAGGGGTCCTGATAGTCCCCCAGGCCCAAGGTCTCACATGTCTGGCAGAGGCCAGACTCAAATCAGATCCACAGTCTTGAATGCTGACTCAACCTCCAAGCCCCAGTTTTCTCATCTGTAAAACTGGCATATTACTGCCAGAGAATTAAAATTAGGTGTTTAAACAAATACATGTGCATGCATGTTCACAGCACACTATTCACAATAGCCAAAAGGAAGAAATGACCCAAGTGTCCATCAACAGATCAATGAATAAACAAAACGTGGTTCATCCATGCAATGGAATATTAGTCATAAAAAAGACTGAAAGACTGATACACACTACAACATGGATGAACCTCATAAATATTATGCTGAGTAAAATAAGCCAGACCCAGAAGAATGCATGTGTTATTCCATTTATGTGACATATTCAAAATAGATAAACCCATAGGACACAAAGAAGATTAGCAGTTGCCAGGGACAGGTGGAGTGGGAATGGAGAGTGAGTGCTAAGGGGAAGAGGGTCTTCTTTTGGGATAATGGACGTGTTTTGGGACTACATGGAAGTGATGGTTGGATGACATCGTGAATGCACTAAATGTCATTGAATTGTACACTGTAAAATGGTAAATTTAATGGTATGAGAATTCTATCTCAATTTGAAAATGGAAAACTCAAACACAGAGTTTGTTAGATAGGCGGAAAATCAAGTAGTGCTGGAGGGCAGAGCGTGGGTGTGGGAGAGGGGAAGTGCCGTCAGCTGCCATGGACTTAGGGCTACTAACTGAGCTGTCCTCAGCACAAGTATGTTGTTTATTTCATCTTGACCTCTGCCCAGGGTCATTTTAAAGATGGGAAAACTGAGGCATAAAGAGCTGGAGTAACCTGTCCAAAACCTCATGGCTTGTAAGAAGTGGATGCAGAATTCAGGGTGATAATAGTGAGTATTTATCAGCTGTCGACCTGTCTAGTTTATAGAGAAGCTAAAGCAGGCACTGGGAGCATCTGCAGCTCATTTTAAGGCCACTCAGTGGTGAAAGGCAGACAGGTGGAGGAGGCCCCAGCATGAGGCTATAGGAAACAAGGTATCCCTTATCTCCGCCCCAAGCCTCAGTGTCCTCCTCTGAACACTTGCGGGTTCCAAGGAGGTTTCTGAGCTCCAACCTGGGGCTGTGAGTCCCACAGCTGGTCCAGAGCAGGGGAGCAGGTGGCAAGGCCCCTGCCTGTGGGAGAGTAGTGCCAGCTGTTGTCCAGATGGTGGCTAGGCCTCAGGACACTGCCTGCTGTGTCTCTGCTTGTGGGGTCTGCCAGACCACAGGTCATCATTATTGGATGAGGGTGTGCAGTAACCTTTTGTGGCTGTCCAGATCCCCACCAGCTGGTGCCCCATCCCAGGTATGGTAGGCAATTGGGCTAGGCCAAGAACCCTGACCTCCCTCTGCCTCACCCCCACATACATCTATTGCATCTCCTGTTGGTACTACCTGCAGAATACCTCCTGGCTAGGAGCACTTTCCACCCCTCCCCTGCCCTGCCACCACCCTTGAATGAGCCCTGTCATTTGTTCTAGAATATTCCTAAGTATTGTCTCTTATTCAAGATATTGGCCCCGACTGTCATGTGGGTTACATCCCTTCTGCCAACAAGCCCCCCTCCTCATTTTTCATAGGGAAAATGCCTCGGCAGTGCTTCATGAGGCCCTCCATGACCAAGAGCACCTCTCATTGGTGCCTGCCCTGTCCCTCACTCTCCCCTGCCAGGCAACACTCAAGGTACACTCCTGCATCAGGTTCTTTGCGCGGGCTGTCCTGTGATGTGTGATCTTGGCGTACCTAGTGTGCCCACAGCACCATGTGTCTGCAGCATGCTTTGTGTATGCACACAGCCAGGGACCCAGTGATCTTGAGCTGTGTATCTGTGTGTCTGACATGTGGGTTGAATCTGGGTGTTTATTAAGTGTGTGTGCATATGGATGCCATTGACTGCAGCTGCGTGTTTGGCGGGTGTGTGAGCTGTAGGTTTCAGCTGAGCAGGGTTTGATGCCGGCATATGGTTCATCTGGAACAAAGGCTTGAGTGGTGGCTGATTACAGGCGGGAGAGGGTATGTGTGCAGAGCTTGCCGGGAATGCATGTAGCTCATGCACGCATGCATTCAGCATTTATTGAGTGCTTATTGTGTGCTGGAGAGGTCAGTAGGGCCCTTCAGCAGCTAATGTCTGTCAACTTGCAGTGTCAACTCCTGAGCATTTTTGCACAAATGAATGAGCATCTATTATAAACTTGACCCTCTGCTGGGCATAGATCACTTGGGTCTGATTCTACCTGCAGGAGACTACTCAGGAGGTCCCTTGCTTCCTCTTCTGGAGTCCCCAGCCCGTGTTCACCCTCTTCTAGGAGCGCTGACTGCACAGAGGGCTCTGAGTCCCATCTGGACCCCTGGGCCTTTCTTTAGGCTCCACAAAGGAGGGTTTTTCGACTCAGAGGGTGAAAGACTAAATGGGCTCAGGGTTGGAGAGAAGGTCCTGGGAGCCTGAATCCAGCCAGGGCTGACGTTCTAGGTTTTCCGAAGGGTGGGGTGGGGGTGTACTCGAAAGCTCTGGGAGCTTACAGAGACCCGGTTGGCTCAAACACGGGCTGGATTTCAGGCTGGGGCACAGGGTGAGAGTTCCCCCATCTGAGGGAAGTCTTGGGGAAGGAATGACTCTGGGATGGGAGGGATGGTTCTCAGAGCTCAAAGGACCACTTCCCCAAGCCTCATCTCCCACCAAGGCTCCGTCCCTTCCCCTTTCCGGAGCAGAACTTGCCCCAGACCAGCCGAACTTCACCGTCCCGCCAGCCCCCACTCCTAGCCTCCTCTCCTGTACCCCCTCCACCCACAGCTCTCCGGTCTCACCCTTGCCTCTCGCCTCTCCAATGGCCACGCCTTTGTACCCCAACCTGCAACTGCTTACTCTGCCTCGCGGGATCCCAAACCAGGTCCCGCCCCTCTGTAGACAGCGCCTAGCCCCTAGTCCTAATCCCGTCAATCTTCCGCCCCTCCTTAGACACTGTCGGCTTCTTAACTCGACCACAGACCTTGCCACAAGTCCTGCCCCTCCTCTACTCAGGAGAGCTGGTCCCAGTCCTCCCCTGCCCCGCCCATCACCAGACCCCGCCCTCTCCCGGAGAGACCACGCCCCATCAGCCGGCCCGGCCCCTCTTATTGCCCAGGCCCTTCCTTCGTGGAGCACGCCCCGCCCCCGTTCCCCAACTCTCGGTCTCCTGGACAGGCGCGAGGCTCCCGTCACTCGAGCGCACGGCGGCGGCGGCGGCGGCGGCGGCGGCGGGAAGATGGCGGAGTCCGGCGGCGGCGGCGGTGGTGTTGGCTTCGGCGCGGGGCCCGGCCTGGAACGCCCGAGCAGGTGAGACCCGGCCTGCAGTTGGCCCGCACCTGCCTCAGGGCTCCGGTGACCTGTGGGGAGTGCTGGGGGTCTGAGGGTCTGGGAAGCGTACTGGGCCTGCCCAAGGGTCTTTCCGGGATACTGCAGGTAGGTACTGCTGAGGGGACAGCTGAAGGAGGGCTGGGGGCCCCAGAACCTCGAGGTGTCTACATGTGGCCCCAGGAGCCTCAGGGGGCGTTGCGGGGCTTGGAGGTCTGAGGGGAAACCCAGGGGCTCCTGAGTGGGAACTGAGAATACCAAGGGGTCTGGGAGGCAGAGAGGGCTTGAACAGAGACCATGGGCAATCTTGAGGTTGTTGAGGCTGTTTTCGGGACTCTGAAGAGGGACTGAAAGGAGCTTGCTGGGACTGGGGCCCAAGCCTTCCTAGAGGGTGCTAAAGGACCCTGAGGATTCTAAAGGTGGTCCTAAGGGCATGCTGAGGGGACCTGGAATGTGTGAGGACTGTGGAAGCCAGGGGGTAGGGGGCACAAGTGAACCTAACGACCTGAAAGAGGCCTTAAAGGGCCTGGGAAAACCTTAGATGGGAGGCTGAGGGGGCCTGGAGGTCCCAGTGAATCCTGATGGGCAAGAAGGGATCTGGAGTCCCAGGGGTTCTGGGGGGCTGGCGTGGGTCTCGGGGAACCTAAGGATGGTGAGAGAACCCTGAAGATTTAATACATAAACACACACACATACAGGGAGTGTCCATTCTTGGAGTACCTCTTTCCCATTCCCATGGGGCTTAAATCTCCCCCTTCCCCAGGCCAAAGAATTTAAAGCAATGTCTTGCTCTCAGACCAAGAGGGCAGAATTCATCTCTGGTCAGAGGGAGGTCCCCTTTCCCTAAGCCCTGAGACTGCTTGAACCCCAGAATTGGCGTAGAACTTTGTTTACATGTGTTGTTCTGGGTTTTCAGATGGGAAGAACACCAGCCTTAAGGAGCACAGCCTCCTTCCTCTTTACATTGCATGGGGTCAGTGTGGCCCAGAGCTTCATCTCTGCTTCCCAGGACAGCCTGCCACTCTTGGCTGACCAAGGACAAAATTCAGGCTCTTTCTCCCTGGTGAGCTTAAGGTAGCCAATCATTTCAGTCAAAGTCATGAGTGATGAAGTTAGTACTTGTGTGCTGTGGTGTCATTTATCATTGTGGAGGGACCTAGGCTGGTGTTGGCTGGAAAGGCCTGATCACCCAGGTGCATGAGTTGGGCTTTGGAGGCATCTGATGGGCCGCATCAGAGATTCAGATTTGGGAAGAGATTCAGCAGGTAGCCTGGGCAGGGCTTGGTGACCAGGCATGAGGTAGCATGTAAGAACAGACAAGAGGGGAGAGTGAACCCTAGGTGTCTGTCTTTGCTCTGGGGTGGGATAAACTGGGGCAAGGGTAAGGTATAATTAATTACATACCATACTGTTCATTGAGTTTTAATAAATTTATAAGGGGGAATAAGTAGTGGTGGAGGGAGACTTGACTTTGGGTGGTGAACACACAATACAGTAATACAGATGATGTATTATAGAATCATACACCTGAAACTGATAAAATTTTATTAACTTATGTCACCCCAATAAAGTCAATAAAAATAAATTTATAGAGTATGAGCATACACCCATTAGCACAATACGTTTTTCCATTTTTTATTCTTTCTTTTAATCCTCACCTGAGGATATGTTTATTGATTTTAATAGGAGGGGGAGGAGAGATAGAGAAACACCGATTGGTTGTCTTTCGTAGGCTTCCTGATCAGGAATTGAACTCATAACCCAGGTGTGTGCCCTGACCGGAAATCGAACCTATGACCTTTTGGTGTACAGACAATGCTCCAACCAACTGAGCCACCTGTCCAGGGGTCTTTTATTTTTTAATTTTGTAATTTATTGATTTGTAAAGAGAGGGAGTAAGGTAGGGGGAAGAGAGAGAGAGATAGATAAAGACATGAATTTGTTATTCCAGTTATTTATGCATTTATTGGTTGATTCTTGTATGTGCCCTGACTGGGAATGGACCCTGCAAGCTCGGTGTATTGAGATGATGCTCTAACCAACTGAGCTAACCAGCCGGGCCTGCCAGCCTTTAATTTTAGCAATTCTAAGTGTATGCTGGTATCTAATTTTCATTTTAATTTGCATCTCTCTAATAACTAATGATGTCAAACATTTTTTCATTATCTTATTAGCTATTCATATTTTTAGTAAAGTGTCTTTTCAGATTTTTTGACCATTTTTTTCATTGAGTTGTCTTCTTATTGACTTTTAAGAATTCTTTATGTATTCTGGATACAGTTCTTTATCAGATATATGATTTGCAAATATTTTCTCTCATCTGCAACTTGTCTTTTCATTTTATTAATTTATCTTTTACAGGGAAAATTATTATGTTGATGAAATGCAGTTTATCAATGTTCTTTTATGGAACACGCTTTTAATGTCATATCTAAGAAATCTTTTCTAAATGGAGGCACTTTCTTAAAAGACATGTCCACTATTTCTGAGATGACCATTTAGCCCCTTCCATCCATCCCAGTGAAAAATCACTGTTGTCTGGAGCAAAAGATGGTGGGTGTATATGAGTGTGTGTGTATGTCGTGTGGGGCTTATTTCTGTGGTTCTAGTGTATGGAGGAGGGCAGGAAGCCCTAATATGGTAAGATGGAACATACAGAAAGAAGACCAGGTCTTGAAGGAAGTTGTGGCATGCAATAGCTTCCCAAGGATCTTTTGAAACGTGGAGGCCTTTGTAGCATTGTTCATTTATTCTTTCCTTCATTTCTTCCAAATGGGCTGGACTGGCCTGGTGAATGTCCTGCCCGTGCCTTATTCCTCTTCACTTCAAGATCATGGCCTCTCAGAGCCACCTGCCTGATTACCTATGTTTAGCTAGCCCCAGGAGCATTTTTTTTTTTTTAGTCATGGTGTTGTGTGCGTGTGTGGTAGGGTTTTTTTGTTTGTTTGTTTGTTTGTTTTTGGTAAAATTTATATGACATAAAGCTCACTCATGTAAAGTGTACAATTAAAAAAAGAGAGTAAAATGTACAATTCAGTGGTATGTAGCACATTCACAATGTTCTTGTGTACCCATCACCTCTATATAGTTTCAGAACATTTCCATAACTCTAAGAGGAAATCCTGTCCTCATTAGCATTCTCCATTCCTCTTCTATCCCAGCCCCTAACAACTACTGCTCTACTTTCTGTCTCTCTAGTTACCTGTTTTATGAATAGAATCACAAAATGGGTTGTTTTATGACTGGCTTCTTTCACGCCATGTAATGTTTTCAAGGTTCATCTACATTGTAGAGTATATCAGTACTTCGTTTCTTTTTATGGCTGTGTAATATTCTATCATGTGCTTGGTTCCATCTTGTGCTTATTTTGGATAGTGTTGCTATGCATATGTGTACACAAGTTTTTGCCTGAATTCCTGTGTTTAGTTCTTTGGGCTCTACCCTAGGAACAGAATTGCTGCATCATAAGGCTGTTGTTTATCTTTGATCGTGCTATCACCACCCAACACTACTTGGTCTGTTTATTAGTGAAAATGCCTTGAGGGTGGAGAGCATGTCTTGTATACCTTGAGCAGAGGCTACACAGAGGAAGTAAGTATTCAAGAAATATGGCCAGGAGGGAAGAAGGGATGAATGGGGTGTGGAAAAGCTCTCTAGGGCTTGTAGTCTGGCAGCAGGGAAATCACATCTATGGATGGGTTGGTCTTTGGTCTTCTTGGGGAGACTTGTGGGAGTTGGGTTGACTGACCTTGTCTGGAAGCCTGGTTTTCAAGTCTGCCAGGAGGTATCTGCATCTGCCTTTTTTGTCCCATGAAGATTTTTACCATTTGGCTTGGTGTGAGGGCAGTTCCTGTCTTCCCCGTGGCCCTTCCAGCAGTCCACAACGTGAGAAGCTGTCCTTGAGGGACTGTGCTCCCCCGCCCCAACCACCCCCAGTGTTATATAACTTGTTTGTTCCAACTTCTCTCTTCTGCAACCACAGGGGAAAAGTGAAAGAGAAAAGCTTATTCTCTTTCCTTACACTATCTCCAGGGATCAACAAAAACCCCATTGCCTAGTAGAGATGGTCGTTAATGACTGAGCTGAACCTCCGGGGTAGACGAAGATGGCGGCCTCAGCCAGGGCTTGAGAAGGGTGTGGGGCCTGTTGCAGGTTCAGTCCAACAAAAGACACTTGTCCTCCAGCAGGTCCCTTCCCAGCTCTACCTTGGACCCTCCATGAGGTCCAGGCTCCTGGAGAGAGAGGAGGTTTTGGTGTTTTGAGGGGGAGGAGGTACTCTCTAAGGAGTTGAACCTCCCAGCTAAAATTCCATTGCTATGAGCTACCTAGCTGGCCGAGTTCTGGAGGAGCTTTTTTCCTACGGAGGCTCTTCAGACGTTGGGTCTTTGGCATCCTTGCTCCGTGGCCCATCTTCCCGAAAGGTGTCTGGATGGGGCCCATAATTGCTGACTCACGCTGCTCCTGGTGGGTGAGGCAGGGGTATCTGGGTGAAGGACATGTCATGCACAGGTGTTTCCATAGGAAGTTGTGGCCAGGACACAGTGTGAGTGGTTTTGGCACAGTTCAGCTGAAGTGTATGCTCCTGGCTTGGGGGCCTTTGCTTGTTATAGATTTCCTAACAAGTCCTCTCTGACTGCATTCTAGATTGTGTCCACTAAGCTTCGAAGCTCTGGGAGAGTCCAGTCCCCGATTGCCTGTGCAAAAGATTGGGGGATGATTTGCCTTCTGAGAAGGTTCTTATTGCTTTGGCCTCGTCCTCGTTTCAGCTGGGAGGGAGAGGCAGGGATTTGATCCTTCAGACATGGGAAGTTCATTCTTCCTCTTGGGAATTCTGGGAGATCTGTGGTGTCCGGGGCCTCATCATACCTATGTGTCTGTGGTCTCTCCTTCCATGAGCAGAGTGACCCTACATATTCATTGTGCACATTGTGCACATCTGCACAACAATGTGTGTTAGACTCCTCATCTGAAAAGTGGGACCC